GAACCTGGACATCCTTATATGTTGTCTGTGTTCCAGAAGTAACAAAGAAAGACAAGCCCAAATCCATAAGTACATTTCAAGCCTCTGCTTGCAGCACAGCTGCTGTTGTCCCATTGGCCAAAACAAATCCCTTCTCCATGCTGAAAGTTGGTGTGGGAGGAGGCTGTACCTGGGCATGAATACAGAAAAATGGGAGCAAATTGGGGGCAATTACTGCAGTAAACTCACCATGCTATAGTTAACCCAACATGTAGCAGTTGTTTCTACCTGATGCTGATCCAGGGGCAGTGCTGAAGTACATTATGGTTAGCTTCTATATGAAAAGGCAGTGACAGCCAAAGGCATAGGAAATCAGCATAGCTGTTTGGTGGCTACACTTGCCAACCTCTGATGTGGGAAATTCCCTGAGAAGCAAAGTTACTGAAGGGCCAGGTGTGGACCAGCTGCACAAGGAAGCCCTGCCCCTCCTACATGCAAATGTAGAACCACCTAGAGGCAGGTCTGTGTCTGAGGCAAGGTGTTAAAGCTTGGGACCCCATGTGATCTCTCAAGTGTCCTAATTACTTTTCATTCACTGCTGAGACAAAATACCAGCACCCAAAGTTAAAGGAGAAAAAGTTTATTTAGCTCACAGTTTGGAAAGGTTTCAGTCAGTAATTGGGCCGGCTCCAAGGCAGGGTGGCATGGCAGAGGAACAACAGTTCATGACATCAGAAGATAGCAAAAGTGGCAATAAAAAGCAAGACAAGGCTCTTTCTGACCCTGTATCCAATCTACTAGGATTAGAATGGTGCCAGTGCAATCAGTGGACTGATCCAGCAATCACCTGCCCTTAACCCCAGCATTGCACTATGAATTAATCACCGTATAAACCGTATGAACACCTGAGTTTTTGGAGGGACATCTAGGTGTAAACCATAACACCAAGCCTAGGGCCCACAGATAGAATGTGAACCAGAGCTGCAGAGAGAGAGTTGAGGGTGAGGATACATGAATGTTGAGTGCTTATATACACAGAGGAACCAAAAACCTTGTCAAGAAACTCCATCCTAAACCCTGTTTCCCAGGAGAAAGAAAGCAATAACAAAATGAACAGAAAAGAAAACTAACAATAACTGTTATCTCCAGGTGCTGGGATTATACTTGGTTTGAGTTCGGTTCTAACAATATCCTGAGGTAACTAGCACAAAATTCCAGATGAGGAAATGGATTCAGGGAGGCCAAGTAACTAGCCTAAATCACTGAATCTGTGAAATGTTTGACGACAGCACTGTGGATTTCTCTGCACCTGGCTGCCCACATGGTTCCATAACACATGGCATCATGAAGCAGCAGTTCTGCTTCTAACGTGACCCTTTTCACAGGAGAACTTGGAAAGAACCCAAAGGCCATTTTCCAGGCAGCAACCCTAGGAGGTGTTCATGGAAAGGACAATGAAAGTGTTCACAGATGGCCTGCAGAGAAGGTGATGGGGGAAACCATGAAGAAATGCCCAGTGTAAACCCCCAAACAATTAAATTTTCTTTGAACTCTCTCCATTATCTATACTCCTCTGTCTACCTTCTCAACTCCAAAATTAAAAGGAACACTTTCTAACCAGGCCATTGATGGTATAGGTCCTGTTGGGAATGATGGCTGAGCCACTGAGGCCTGTAGTATTTGTAGGCATAGAGGCTGTTGAGGTAGAGTGTCTGAGAAGTGAATTTGTTCTGTGTTGATTGCCAAGTTGGGAGTGGAATTGTTGGGTGGGTATGCAGAACTCTAGTGGCCTAGAGATCTTATGCAAACATCCTGGTACCATCACTTAAGTTTGTGCCCCTGACTTTCAGGGTTCTGTTTGTGCACCAGAACTGCAGTGCCCACCTGGCAGAGTATAAGCCAGCAGTGCCAGGGGCCCATGTGGCAGCTGGCTTGCTCTCTGTTCAGTGAATGGGAGTCCAAGGAAATGGGTGACATGAGAAGTTAGGAGCCCTCGACTCTATTTGAGGGACTTCTCCTGCCACAAGATGGGAAAATAGCCAAGAGACTCCATCAGCATTCCACTCAAGTGGAGTGTGGCCAGATGACCATAGGCACATCCGTGTTTATCCTCTGGGATGTTGGCCAAACAGAAAAGTCTTTTGATAGAAAGTCTGGAAGGTCCCTTTTAAAGAAATGGTTTTCAAATACCCTTGCAGGGCCCATAAGGAAAGACTGGGAAAGAAGGGCTTATAGAGCTCTGGCTCCTGCTTCTGGTTTCCATGATACAGTTCACCCCACATATGCAATTCAGTGGCCTCCAGTGTATTCAGAGTTGGACAATCCTCACAACACTAGCAGATTGAGCTTTTATCTGGTTCTGTCTATCGGAGGGGAAGATCCAAGTTGAAAATAGCTATTACTATCTTTTTTTTTTTTTTTTTTTTTAGCTATTACTATCTTACTGCAGTTTCAGAACCTTTTGTAAAAAGACTGGTTCTCAAAACCCCAAGGAGAACTAGGAAATAAAGCTGATAGGTAAGACTGATAGGATATAGCATTCGACACTTTTTTCACAGGTGGGACATTTAGGGTTGTATTCAGCATTTTTTAAATCCTTTTGTGTTGTTCCAATGTGGTTAGAGAGAATTAGAGTGGGCAGGATGGGGCTGCAGGAAGATTTAATGATGCAACTGAAATAAGCTCAGTGGTCCAGAGTGAGAGAGGCCTCTACTAGCTGAAACAGTTAGTCAGAGTAGGAGCAAAGCCTCTAGCACCTTCCAACCTTCCCTGCCATGTTACACTGATTGATGTTCAGATTCATGATCCCAATCAGAGAAGACCAGTCGTCTTAGCAAAAGCTCACCCATAAAGAATGAAGATTAAAGGTTGGAGGTGGTTTGTAGTGGGGTTCACATGAAGTGCTGTTGTCTAGCACATTGTAAATGCTCAATAAATATCCTTTATGTTTTTCTTTGGAAATGTCATTCATGTAAAATACTTACTCCCTGTTGATGTCAGTATTTGCAAACTGGTTTCCTCATATTGGCTGGATGGGAGTGTTCTCATTTTGGCTTATTTGGGGGCAAAGACTCACAGAGTACGTGATTATTCTACAGCTAAGGATTCTTGTCTCCCTGCCAGAGAACTGGGCTAACTGGATTATTTGCAGTTGACAAACTTGGTTTTCCACCCTGAACTTGTCATCTCTGCTTTATTCACAGGACTGGTTCCCAATTTGAGGTGAAATCATGAAGAGGAAATAGAACAAGTAATAATGCTTTTCCGTAATCGCTTCTTGCTGCTGCTGGCCCTGGCTGCACTGCTGGCCTTCCTTAGCCTCAGCCTTCAGTTCTGTGAGTCCCGCGGGTGTCATTGGCTCTGGGAAGGGAGGGGCCTCCTTGGGAAATACAGGGCCCAAGTTTGTGGGAAACACAGAGGCCCCAAAGCCTTTGTTTTTTAAATAAATAGTGAGGTTTAAAACAAAGGGACCTCTTTACTGTCAATCTTTGCATTATTTTATATTTATCTTATCATGGCAGGTAATTGCAAACAGGAACCTTAAACCACTGGGTAATGCTCTTTTGACTATGAAGGACCCACAAGAACTCTCATAAGCTCTGTGACAAGTTTTTTACTTCTCCACAAATTCCTATACTACCTCATTGCTCCCAGGATGTTAGCTCAGATGCCCAAGGCATCTGACACTCAGGCAGACACTGAGCAGCCCCATGTCACTTCTCTTGTCAAGCCACACAGAGCAAAGGTGGTTGTCCTGTAGTTGGCTCCTTGAGAATTGAGTATCCATTGAGTGTTCAGTAATATGCAAGGCTGAAGTTAGGTGGGTCAGGGTGGAGAGATTAGATGCTGGTATCAAACTCAGGTGGCTGGGCATGGGAAAGGCAGAGAGACCAGAGCTCTCCGGTAAAGCCAGTTCACAGACCTCTCCATCTAGTATCCTTTACTGAGATTCCTGTCCTCATGTTGGTCATGCCCAACAAGTGACCATCCTCAAGCACAGGTCAGCCCAGTCTCCTTGGTTGTGGCCTATATGTAGTGGCCTGTGGTCATCTGTAACTTACTCTCTGCAGGGGCAGCCTCTGTCAAGCCCAGCTCCTGCCACTCTCTGCTGGCAGTCCCCTGGCCCTCTCTCCAGTCCCCCATCCTTAATTTTTCTCTTCTAAGAACCTTCTATGGATGCCCAAGGGTGTGGTGCTTCTGTGATACACATTAGGATCCCCTGAACCTGATCCCATCCTTCACTAACCATGCAGCGTCAACATTTTCCATGCTTGTGTCATTTCCTTCCACAAGACGGTCTGGTTTGAGAGCAGGGACCTTCTCCTGTTTCCCTTTGTCTCCTAGGAACCAGCACTTCTGACCAGCACACAGTAAATATCTTGTGAACATTTCTAAGGCAGGCTGGCCCTTACTCCTTCTCCCTCTGTACTTGAAGCTGAGAAAATATCTGAACAGTGGGGAGAGTTTTGCTGTCACCCGAGTACTTTTATTTTACCACCTCACCTTGATAGTTGGGAGACAAAGCTTTAGCACACTGCCGGCGATGGCTGGGTGTGGAGGTAGCATTTCGGTGACAGTTTGAGTGACATAAAGGGGAGCAGGTGGCTCAGTGAGTGGAATGTGGTGAGTGCAGAGGGACGTGGGGAGACTTGGCATCAGGAGTAGTGGTTTGGAAAGTGGAGGCTTCTAGCATTTTGCCTGATTTACCTTCAGTGTGACATACTCCCAGGCACACCTCCAGTGCATATGACAGGCTATTTCCAGTAATGACGAGACCTAAAAATACTCATTTATCCTTCTAGAATTGGAAAAGAAGAGAAAGTTGGTGTAAGAAATTTAAACCAAGCATGGTGACACACGCCTGTCACCCCAGCACTCTGGGAAGTTGAGGCAGCAGTGTCACAAGAGCTCAGTGTGGAGAACTTAGAGACCCTCTCTCAAAATTAAGAAAAAAAGGGGGAGGGCTGTAAATAGGCTTTGGGTTCAATCCCTAGTACCACACACACACACACACACACACACATTCACTCACTCACTCACACAGTTTAAAAGTACTCCAGATGGTTAATGAACCAGAAAATATGAATCTTTTCCAAGAAGTATGCTTTTCTTTCAGTAGTTTGTTTATAACTTTGCATTAAAAATTTTCCATCCTTTGGCCAAAAAGGTCTGATGTTACAGCAAACAGAGCATATCCTGAATCACTGACAGGTTCCAAGAGGTGAATGTGGGTTCTTGTGTTTGCTGCATTTCTCTGGCGTGAGCTGGTCTGTGCGTCACTGAATGGGCCTGTGTGTCTTGCTTATATAACTCTTCTGAAAGTACCTCTGTTTTAAGAGAGCCAATTTTCAGCCACATTTTTTTTTAAGGAAAATTTTTCAGGATAAATTAGCCTGACTGGATCTGAGCACTTTGCTCTGGGATGCGTTGGAGTTCGGATAGTAAGAAATGGACTTTCTTACTACTCTTCTGCTTCTAGGTAAACTGTGGCTTTGGAATTTCCTTGTTTCTACAGAAATAGAATTCATTTGTTTCACTACTTAATGCTTTATTGGCTGCTTGTTATTGTGGTACAAGAAACTGCACTAATTTGTAGTACAAAGATTTATGTTTAAATAACATTTATGTTTTCATTCTTACCATAAAATAGATGGACTTTTCTTCATCACTTCTTTTAACTACTTTTTAAAAACTAAGTTAACACATATAATTACTTTAATAGATCTGAGGTCGTCAAATATGACTTAATTTTCTTGTGCTTTAAGTTTAATAAACAGAATGGTTTTGTTTTCTGAAATATTGTAAATTTTATTTTGTCTTAGTAGTTTTCTTCTGGTGTTTTGAATGTGGAAAAGTTATGACTTAGGTTTGGATTCAGAAATCAGATTGTTTAAATAAGCATTTCTTCCTCTGGGTACAGAAAGTACGTAGTGAACCCACGCGTATTTATTGAGTACTTAGCGTGTGCTTGACATTGTGACGGTGGAGATGGTAGGGAAGGGTTACAAAAAGATTTATTCAGTTTAGAGTTTTGCAAAATATGTCCACCTTAAATGTAACTAATGGCTTACTGTATGCTAATAGTCCTTAACTTTAAAAAGTCCTTTGTTTTGTATGTTGTCGTTAAAATACATATGAGTAGAGGAATATTTGTCAAATTGAAAGATGCCTTTTTTTTTTTTTTTGCAACAGGGAAAGACTGCTGGTATGTGAAGGCTTATGAGTCATTAGTTATATTTCTGATTTTTCTGCTCATCCGTAATCATCCACTTTCTTGCTGTACTGGTGGATTTCCTTAATGCTTATTGTACGTTCATTTCTCCGTGTTCCAACTGGCATTCCCAAAATGGTGGCATGGCACAGACTCGTGAATCACGGCCTTGGGTTTGACTGTCAGCTTCTCCCCCAAGCAGCGGGCTTTCCTGTTTGCTCTTCTGTAAATCAGCTCATTATTATGGGTTTTCATGCTTGGTTAAGAACAAAAATTGGGAGGGAAACTTATGGCTCATGGAAGCCTTGGTTTCTTTTGTAAAATAGAGTTAGTCATTCTTATTTTTGCAAGGTTAGTGTGAGAACTGAGGACTTTTGGGTACTTTTGAACTTCTGGGAAAATCCTTGGCATAGCCAACAATCAGTCTTTTAAACAAACCAGACAAAAAATAAATAAATAAATAAACAAACCAGACAGATTCCCATCATATCATCCTCAGAAACCAGGGCTCTTGGAGTTCTATAAGACTCTCTATAAGACCTCAGCACTTCAGCTGTTTGGGGGGGGAGGGGTAGCTTTTGAATCATAATACCCATTTATTTGTTTTAATCTGGGTGCATTGGTTATAAGGAACACATAGGACCTATATTGGGGATCACTTCTTGGCCAGGGCCCCAACTGACCTGAGCAAATTGAAAGGTGGATGGAACATTCAGATTCCTTGGTAGGGTAGGAGAGATATGTAACCTGCAGATGTGGAAGCCAGGGTTGTTTTTAGTAATTAAAGTGCTCCATTTGCAAAAGGAATCAGACCTGTTCTGCATGATCCAGATGAACAGTGATGGAACTTCCCAAAGCCAGCACCATGCAGAAGTAGAGGGGTGCTGTGTTCTCCATCACTGGAGTCTACAACCTCCAGAGTGTGGAATTAGGCAACTGTCTGGTCCCAATCCCATTTAAAATCTCTTCAGCGCTGCCATTTTATGAATTTTATCTTTCCTTGATGCAGTACTGTGAGCATGTAAAGTTCAGTTCTTTAGCAAATGATGTTTGAGTTTCCAAACTGGGCTGAGAGTTCTCTCAGGGGCCACAAGGAGTGCTCCATGCGGTGAAGGAATTCAGGAGTGGACTCTTGGAATACAGAGTGCAGGACACCAGGCAGATGGGCCATGTGGTGGGAAAGAGCCAGCCTGCCATGGCCCCATCCCTGAGCTGCCACTCACCAGCTGTTATCTTCCCACCCCATTCCTCTGTTTCTTGCTCTGTAAAATGGGGCTGGTAATTGTCTCTCCCTCATGGAGTTGTAAGGATTCAGTGAGCTAGTGTCCACCAGACACCAGGCATGGTGCCTGGCACATAGTAATCATGACTCCTATTTGCTAAATCAAATGAGCTGGAGATCATTTGCGGCAGGGAGTTTGGGGAGGAGGAAGACAAGAACCCAGACCGGTCCGGAGTGTCAGGTGGCATCCAGGCTCATCTTTGAAGAATGGGAATTAGCTGAGGAGGAAGCTAAAGAGGATGAGGTAGGCATGCAGGGACACAGGTGAGAGGGCAGAACCAGATTAGCCACCTTTATGTAGCTTTAAAGTTGAACGAAACACTGAGGTCTGCCTGCTCCCCATCCCTTGCTATCCTAAAGGTGAGTCCAAAGACCTGGATGAGAACCTGAGGAGCTTGTTTAAAATGCCTGCTTCTGCACTGAAAAAGAACAGTTTGTGCCTCTCCCTGCAGAATCAGAATCTAGGTGGGAGTGGACTCCAGAGATCTACATTGTAAACAAGCTCCTGGGTGTGGCTGGTGCCCAGAGTATGTGAACTACCATCCATCTGGGGGTGATGAGAGGGTGCTGCTGGCTAATGCAACTCAGAGGCCGTTGTGTTTCTGCAGTAAAAGGCTGTGTGTGGATGGCCTGGGTGGAAGTGTTAGCTCTGAAAGGAAGAAGCAAAGCCATGAAGCATCATGGTGATGCAGTGGGGCTTTCTAGCTGGTTGGTTGGTAGTAGCGGGCAGGATAATTTGTCTATGGCTCCTGGACATCTGGCAAGGGGAGGCAATAGATGCTTCATTCACCCATGCACCCATTAGGTAATGTCTGTCTCCACCTGCAAGAAGTATAGAGAAGGCTGAAGGAAATGTCCAGAATGTAGGCAGAGAGGTCACCACCCAGGGCTGGTGGCTGCCTGGGCTCTGAAAGAGTGCTCAGAACAGGAAGAAAGCTAGACAGGGCCCAACAGCAGGACAAGCTGGACAGCACAGGAAGAAGAGAGAGGGATGCTAGTGAGGGGCACCATGACCCTGGAGGTACCTGAGGGCTGTGGGTACAGTGTCTGCCTAAGAGGCGACCCATGGTCTGATATTCATGACTGGGACCACATCTCCTGGAAGCATGTGAAAGCTGCTTCAGACCAGCAGCCTGTGAACTTGTTTTGTTTGGCTCAGTGAGTATTTGTAGATTTTCAAATTTACTTACCAATTCACATAAACTTCTTTAAAAAGTCAGTCTCTCCAGCATGCTGAGCACCCTCCGCAGTCCCTAGCAGAGACATCTGGGAAGTCAGGCAGCTGAGCAGAGGCTGTCCACTTTGAGGAGTGCGTGCCCTGTGTCCCCCAAGTCCTACCCAGTCCCTGTCAGCATCAAACTATGTGCCCTGTGGCAGGGACAGAGAGAACAGCCAGCAGGGGCCCAGGGACAGAAGAGGTCTGGAAGCCGCAGGAGGCACGGAACCTTCTCAGGTGGGCAGCTGAGGAGCCCCACCGTAACCAGCACCCTCTCAGTCTCTCTCCATCTCTCTCTCTTTCTGCATGTGTATATGTGTGTGTGTGTGTGTGTGTGTGTGTGTGTGTGTGTGTGTGTGTGTGTGTAGTTTCCTGGTACCTCTCTTACCTGCAAAGCCATCATTATTCTTGTTCTGTTATTCACCCCATACCATTTGTAGTGCATTATATCTGATGTCTGCTAGAAAAGGGAGAACAGTGTAGAAATGCAAACTGCTTCTGCCTGGGAAAGTGAGGAGCCCTGGAAGGAGCAGGGCGCCAGGACCCTCCTCTGCCTTGGTGGTCCAACCCCTCACTTCTTCAGCCTCAGCAGGGTCTTCATAGGTGGGTGTTAGCATTTGCACTTCCAACCCTGCAGGACCCCGAAAGTCCAGGATGGGTGGTGGTATGATTTCGCTGAGGCACACATTTGGATAAAGATAGCAAGGGGTAAACTCGTTGGCTGCAGAGCAAGCCAGGTCTTGCTGCCAGCCACTGGCCTCTGTCGTGCTCTGTTCTCTGTCTTGTGTGTATTTTATGGAGAAGAGCATGTGTACCACGGTGCTGTGTGTGTATTTGCGGATTCTTGGAGATCTTACTTTGTTTTCATTGCAAAGGTTTGAAAATGTAAACCTTTATAATGTCAGGGCCCTTGTATTCTCTACACAGATTGAATGCCCCTTATGCAAACTGCTTGGGAGCAAAAATGTTTGGGAGTTTGGGTTTTGGAGTATTTTCATAAACACAATGAGATATCGTGGGGATAAGACTCACATTTAAATGTGAAATTAATTTTTGTTTTATATGTACTTTATATATACAACCTGAAGATAATTTTATATAATGTTCTTAATTTGTTTGCAAAACACTTTCACAATGTGGAATTTTCTACTTGTGGCGTCAGGTCAGTAGTGCTCATTCTGGATTCTGGGTTTTCAGATTAGAGCTGCTTAACCTGCACAACTGGACTGAAAGCACAGTAAGCTTCCTCCTGGGCCCTTTTGGTTTCCCATACTGCAGGAATTGAAAATAATAGCTCATATTTCTAATCCAGGAGTTCTGACAAACTTTATCCCATCAATAGCTTTTCAGTTTTAAATTTAGCAATTTTTTATTAACTTTTATCCTTTTTTTTTTTTTTTTTTTTTTTTTTGTCTTTTTCCTTTTTATCAGTACCGGGGATCAAACTCGTGACTGCCTGCTTGCAAGGCAGGCGCTTATGCTGCTGAGCTAAATCCCCAGCCCTAGTGGTTCCTTGTTTTTGAGGAGAGGAAACCCTCAGGGCTCGTTAGTAAAAACTGAAAGTGTTGGTAAATAGAGTCCGCGGATTCAGTGCAGTGCCCAGAGACAGCAAGACTCAAGGGAGAGAGACATAGTAGGAGACACCTACTGACTGTATCACTGGCATGCTGGTGGAAAGGAATGAGCCAAGGCCACACACCACTGGCATTTGAATAGGAGAGGTGTGCACCAGCTGAGCCACCTGGCAGCCCCACTCCCAGGCTTCTGCCC